GAAACTACATCATTGTTATGATTGACCGTATTGTGCGAGAAAATCCATCCATATAGCATTTTACTAACTTCAGCTGGTGAAAGCAAGCAGTGCGCAGCCTTGTGAACTATATCAAATATGGCTTCTATGAAGATCTCCATTGCTAGGTGAAGATCCTATAAAAACAATAAATCCAATAAGCAAGGGAAAAAAAGATGAGTCCCTAAGCCAAGATCATCTGCCAACATATGGTAATTACTAGCCGTTGCTCTACCTCAATTACTCCACGTCTCCGATCAGTAGTACGCTGAAAAACATAATCTTTAAGAGTTTGAACCCTCTTTAAGGAAATAGAACTTGAAGGCTTCTGTCTTTCAGATGGGGATGCCCTCACTTTCCTATAGAAGGGGAAGAAGAGTAGACGAGCTAGTATTGCCAGCAACAATTTGACAGGGAACAAAATCAGAGAAAATATGCTGTTCATCCAACCCTTTCCATGTCTTTCGTGTCTGGAGAAGGAGCTTGCCCTGGAGAATCGGGAGCTTTGAGATAATGGCGAAGGACATGAATATTCATTAATATCTTCTTCCCCAGAAGAGTAGTCTGAGCTTGAAAATGCGTCCGGATCAACCGAGAGATTGTGGACGAACTGATTGAAAGAAGACACACCACTGCAATACAAAGTGAAGAAGTCAAATCCCTATAGTAATCTCCTTAGGGTTAAAGAAATAGTAATACAGAGGTCTACCCCATTGCATTTGTTTTTTTCTTTTTTTTGCAGTTTCAGGTCAGAATCTTAGATGTTACACTTGCAATGGCAAAGTAATTTCTCTGGGACAAATTAAGCTAATTCTAACCAGTCTGTCAATATGACCAAACACCGATTATTATTCATTTTTATCCAACCATAGACAAATCTTTTTAAATTGAAGTCTTTTTACTCTATCCGGTGACAATTACACTTATTACAATGTTTTATTTTTAAACTCTGATAATTTATGGTCATAACAGATATCAGTTGTAGACACGTGCGAAATATTTGATGGCCGTAGCAGACAACAAACATAAATCACCGAAATGCAATACACATAGAATTACATGATTATGTTGGTACATGTGTTGAAAATGAAGGTCAAAATGTGTTGAAAAAGTGGATGAAAACCGAGGACACTTGGCAAGCAACCAACCCGCCGCATGTCAAAGCCGCAGGAGTTGGAGAAGGACGTTTTTCTTTACTAAGTATAAACGAGCATGCAGGTATACGTGTATGTATTGTAACCAGTTTGTCAACAGAAAGTAAGTTTGTCAAAATATATGTAGTGTACTCCATTGGGGGTGATAAAAATAATTTTCACAGGATTCAATCATTTGGCTTTCAGACAAAAAACATGAATATCACATTTGCAATGACAAAGTAGTTTTTCTAGGACAAATACCCTAATTCTAACCAGTTTGTCAACTCACTTTCTCAAACCAATGTACAAGTAACTAACTCTGAAGCACAAACATGAAAAGATGGCATACAGTTATAGATGTTCGATTAAGAATGGTTTTGTTTATTTCAACATCTCTATTGACAACTTGAATCCATTAAAACATTGTCCTGCACTCTTTTCACGAAACATGTAAAATTTTCAGCGAACTAATTTAAAGCATCATGACAATCATGTAGAATGACAGCTAAAAAGACAGGACAGCGATGGAGTAAAGCAAACAAGATACATATGTACACAGTTTTGTCGACGAGTGCCTTTAGGGCATTTTTCAAGCATGACATACAAGGATAATTTCAATTTCCAAGGTATTGATTACATGCATCATCAGAAGAATTAGTCTTCTAAAATTGGAAGTCTTTCTATTTGTTTGTCTAACAAGTGCCTTGAGGACACCCGTCAAAAAAACCCATATGCATTTTTAAAAATTGCAAATAAAGAATACAAGGATCTCATGTGTGAATCATCAAAGATGAAAGCGTATCAAGAGTTGTTCGTTCGTTCATGTAATTATTACAAGAACTATATCAATTACCACATGTGTTCTTTTCACAGAGAAAAAGGAAAAGTAAACGGTATTGTTTCGACCTTCGTGACCACAAAAGGTTCCCGGTCATTATTAACTGGATGAATGAGCAAGCCCAACAGCCAAAGATTCAGACTCTCAAAAGGGAAAATAATAAGAGCACTTCAGTTCTATATACAACTCATTTGGCTGTCTTTCCCTGTACTACTGTCAGAAGTATAGTTCAAACTTCCCACTGCTTTTCAAGATATAATAGAGGAAAATGCTCCACAAGGCCGTGTGTACAAGTAAATTCTACATCCATTTTCTATCTATTATGGAAAAAGTTCTCGCTTTATCAGAATTAATGAATCATTTAATGGTACACAAAGGAGAAAACTCACTGTTCCATCCACCGGGGCAATCGAGGTCCACTGAAAGTTGGCCTGAGCTCCCATCCATTCATACCTTCTAGGATGTTAGCTTTTCCAGGTAAAAAGGTCAACAGAAGTGCTGACACTCCATTCACGAGCCTCACGATGTTGTTCAAGGATTCATAGGTGATAGTCTTAACCGACCTGCAGTGCAACCAACAAACGTGCCCATCAATTGATTCAGCAAGTGCTCCATATACCAAAGAGTTCGTCATCAACTTAATGTCAGAGTTCTTAAAAGTAAGAGGAGTTAGCCAATTCTAAAAGATGCTAATGGACACTAAAATCGAAATGGCAGCATCTCAAGGTCACAAACAATAAAGGCCCAAAGTCAAACAAAGGATACTCAACTCTTCCAAATCTAATTCGTTCTCTTTTCAGTTTCTTTTTTTCTCTTTTAAACTTTAATCACAAGGAGTATCAACCCTTTCTCTAACTAGCTTTTAAATGAACATGGCATTATTCAAGATTTTTCAACCAAATCAATCATCAGCCGCAAAAGGAGGACTCCGAACACCCGGGCAAATCAAAAAGAAGAAGGAATATGCACGTCAGACAGTAGCATTGCTCAAAAGAAAGGCACAAAGGTAACTTCAGCAGACAATCAGAATCATCAGAACCAACCCCCCCACCCCCCCCTTCCAAAGAAACAAATTCATTAGCGAGCTCATCAACATATAAACGGCAATATCTAACGTCGCTCCACACACATGCAGCTAAACAAGACACTCAGCTAGAACCAAGAATCCGACGGGAAAACGATTCTTTAAAAACCCAGACCACGAATACGAATCCGCGATCAATTCGCCAACAAAAAGCGCAGGGTCTTCTCCGACGAGAACATACGCTCACCCACCCAAGACTTCATACCGTTCCGATCAAGAAAACGAAAACCCACAGAGGGAGGTCGGCAAGCTCGCAAATGGGCCAACTCACTCTTTGGACACGGCGAGGACGCCGTCGACGAACCGCTGCATCTTCGGGAGCCAACGAGGCGACGGGCTCCTCAGCGACCGATCGCGGAAATCAAGGCCGGACGATCTCTCGAGGAGGCATCATCGTACGGACGGAGCCGCGCGAGATTCGGTTCGGTTCTGGGGTTCCGACGGGAGATTCCGGCGAGAATCCGAACGGCTTTGCCGCGGGGGGGAACTGAGAAGCAGATGATGATGATGATTCTCCTCTATAATATTTGAAGGATTTTGCAACGTCGATTCCTGCCGCGGAACGATCGCGAGTCGGTGCGGCTTCTCTTCCCTCGCCTCGCCTCGGGGGCTCGACCCCCACGTGGGCGCCTGTGATTGGACCCTCGTCTGGGTCGTGTCCCGAGCTCCTGACCCCACCCCCACTCGGCTCAAGAAGATGACACGACTTGCCCCAGATCTTTTTTTGTTGGTCAAAGCCCCAGATCTTTTAGATATGAAATAAAATGATAAAAAGCGTGGAAAGCGCGAAGGCTGATGAAAATGCGAAAAATATTGTTTTTAGAAATGATGTCTCGAGTTAATTATCTATACTAGTTCATGTATAAATATTTTTATGCACAATAAAAACATTTTCCGTTTATTATTTTTTAAGCGACACAAACGATCATTTTTAAGAAAAATAATTTTTAAATCATTTAATTTCAGCAAAAATAAGTGGTTTGTTTGTTTGAATAAAAAAATTTCTGCAGATTAATTTTCCGGACTTTGTATGGGTTTGGCTTGTTGAAAATGGCCAGTCAGCTGAAAATTATTTATGGGGAAAATGAATTCCCTAATTTGAAAAGGGGCAAACTTTTTTTTTTTGAAAACGATTTTTATAAAAAAAAAGTATTTTCTTTTATCATAATATTTTTTTCCGAAACAAAGACACCTTATACAAAAAACTTATATATTGATGAAACGGATTAATAAAATATCAACGGGGAGAGCATATAATATACAGCAGAAATTGAATGAGATTCATAACACCACATCGGCACTAGCACGTGATACACCCGTCAACATAAGATAACTTCCAAGAAGACGGCTAATCGCGGCGGGCCAAGGTGGGGGGCGAGGTTAGGCGGACAGCGGCGATTGAAAGGGAACGTGGATTGCGCGTGAGCGGAGCCACTCAAGTGAGAGGGGGCGATGAATCGCGTAGAAAGCGAGTACGGAAGCGGCGCTCGTGCTTGCCGTGCTAAGATGTCGCTCACTCACGTTCTAAACATGCGATGTTGCGTAAGGCGTGGAAGCCTCTTCACTTCATGTCGTTTACCGATAAAGAAAGATGGTTCAAATCTTTGCGGAGTTTGGACGGATTCTCATGGCCGTGACAAAGAGTCAATTGGTCTTAGTTTCTTCACTCGAATCCTGATCCTTCGTAACAGCACTTCCGGGATTGCGAAATTCTTGCAACCACCTAAACCATCGCCGATCAAGCGGTTGGTTCTTGCGGCGCCCGCATATGATGGCTCGGATCGTTACATCATCGTTTTGGATCATGCTGAGACAACGGGATGCCATCGAAATTGGAAGACGGATCAGTATGACGCCATGCTAGTCCATTCTTGAGTAGCAGCATTGAAGTAACGAACGACATTTACGACTCCGAGAGCGTGAATTAGTTGAAGTCTCTGCTGAATTTCCTACAAAGTACATAGCAACTGCAACTTGGGATTCCAATACTCAAGTGTACCCTCAATTGAGCCATAAGAGCAAAGATGAGATTAGTCCCCACAACCTAGCCATTTCGAGCTATAGACGAGACGCTATGACGGATTAATTCCAAACCTATCAAATTGGCCACAATGCGACTTCCAATCTGAGTACCCCCAACATAACCCTAGTTGGATTCAGTCTGACAAGCATCTTTGTTCCACTCCGACGAGGAATTCAGGAGATCATACTGATAATCGACACTAGACATTGTAGAAGCACCAGGAGTGGCGTCAAATCACGGGCATTTTCTCTGAACATATGAAGCGCCGTGTTCCTCGTACCTGGAATTGAATACACAATTTAGTGCTCTGTAGAGAACAAACTAAATATGCAATGCCAAAGAGTTTTTAGCTTCATGAAAACTCAAACAAGAGCCACTAAAGCTGGAAATTTTCCCTGATTGTTATCCAAAATACATCAATCGAAAAATAGCAACTTCACTGCTATAGGTGAAAACTAAAACCTTAAATCCAAAACTTACTCAGTCTTTGAGAACCACATCTGCTGAAATGATCCAAGAGATGCCAATATACTTCCTCCTATCCAAACACTGCACACCACATACTTGGCATTAAGAGAGCAATAGGCATAAATCATTCAACAACACCATAAAATAATTGTCTAGGGAACTGGGCAACTGCAAGGAGACGATGGGAGTTCAATTGCAGCATGTGACCTATAAGAAGATTGTTGACATTTTAGCTTCTGTGACAACTAAAGCCACTCTTTCTAGAGCGCTTTCGATTCCTAAGATTATATTGTTCCATCCCTTTTAAATATTATTTTCTCGCTCAGATATTATATCCTTCCTATCGTAGCACTGTGCAAGGGTGATATGAAATAGGTCTGAGAGAAGAATTTTAGGGAAAGTCCAAACTACCTGAATCTTCTTTCAGTTGTATTCCCACTGGCCAATACTTTTACTCTGGCAGCTTGAGGGGATTCCTGCACATTGAGAAACTCTATCGAATTACAAAGCTCAATAATCTTATTCAACAGGACAAATCCAGTATTAACTTAGGGAATTGAGAGCTCACAAATCTATCAACTACTACAAACAATGAATTAGAATAGAAACACATGCACTGAAAAAATAAAAGCTACACGGAGTCATAGAACTCCAAAGTTGTATTTCATACTAGAGATAAGTAATACATGATAGAGATCCGTGCCCCCAACACAAATTAAGAACTTTAGTATGCATTTACTTAAGCAAAATATACCTCTAGCAAGTCTTTCTCAAGACGTTCCTTCAACTGCTGCATCGATGCAGTGCCACCCGCAAGCTTTAAAGAGACAAATGAAAAAATCAACCTCATTTCAAGAATTTATAAACGGTTGAACATTGGTCTACATATAATGGCCATCACATTGCTCTGCATAGTATTACTGTTGCACGCCTTGCATGCACATGGCAGAGTCCCTATTTCAACACATTTTTAAAAATAAAGAGCTGCCAAAACTGCTCCCATTTTACAAAATACAACCACAAAGAATACTTCCATTATATAGACTGGCATCTCTCCTAAGCATGTTGAGGGACTCAATAAAGAATTCTTAGCATATCAAAACTAAAATTAGAGGATTCGAGCTTCGGTAAACATGAGTTGATTAACATTTTACCAGAATACTACTAAAAAGTTCTCTTCGGATGTCAACGTCACACTTGTTAATACTCTCAATAACCTGCAAAAATAGGATGATTTAGCAAGAGAAGTTTCGAAGACTAAAAAAGTGCAATCTAGACAAAGGGTGAAGGAAAAGGAAATCACCATCTGGGATAATCCACGAACAGAAGTAGCAAACTCTGAGAAACTCTCCATGCCGGGAATTGTCTGTTTTTCGCGTACAAAGTTAAAATCCTAAATACGTAAAGGCATGCCAAAGAAAAAGCATTTCTGAAAAAACTGATGCGGAAGAATACCGACCCATTTTCTACCCATAAAGGTTCAACAATCAGTGACACGGATATACAGATGCACAATACAATTTCAAAGATATCATCAGGTAAATATGGCATGGACATTCACGAGTATACAATGCCTAATTCTACCTAAAACGAAACTTAAAAGACTCAATCAACCATGGGGTCCATGATACAAAAGCATATCCAAATAGCCGAGGCTTCACAATTGTGCTAACTATTACAATCTTCTACAGAGAACAAAGCTGAATGAACATACTCTTTGGGAAATTAAATCCCAAAGAGTTGTCTACTTTCAGGAAGTAATGACAATCTGAAAACCCATAGTTTAAAGAGGTAGTCAGACAGCAAATATATGAAAGGAGGCAAGAGATGAGATTTCTCATAAAAAGTTCCAAAAAATCTCATAACAAAGAAATTGCCTCCATACAGAACTCACTAAGGTAAAAAGCTGGGCAGATGACTAACGACATAGATGAATTGACAAAGATTATTAGTACAGAGACCTAAAACCACACAGAATTCTCCAATTGGCAAAAGCAGGAATATTGTAGAACAGAAAATTTTCTAAGAGGGGAAGAAAGTCGTTATATTGAAAATGGAGGCAAAGAGAATAATTTTGTTCGGAAAGGATAACAAGCAAAGGTGCAGAAGATGAGGAGAAATACAATTCTTTTGTTTGGGTAAACTAAATGGCCAATTCCAAGTGTTTTCTCCACCCAATAAAATGGCCTAGAAATGTGGGCCTGGGAGAATTCTTTTGCCCACAAAAATCTCTACCTCAATTTTCCCTATGCCTCCCAAACACTAGAATCTACATGTTTTCTTTCCCTATTTTCCTTTCCACACTTTTTCCTTGTTGCCAAGTAAAGCATAGTGCACCTTTCTTATAAGGTAGAACCATCAGCAACCCAGTCAATCGTTGTTAAGGAATCGTATATATTACGGTCATAATAAATTATCAAACAAGACTCAAGCAAGCATTTTGAAGGGTAAAAAAAGGAAACATGCAAAATTTGCATCCGAGTCAACTGGCTAGTGGCTACCTACCTGAGCTAGGGATGGATTGAACAGAACATCAGGAATCTTAAATCTGTCAGCCCCAATTTCAATTGTCCTGCATTATGCAGAAGAACAATGCAAGACTGAAGTGAAATGAGTGATTCTGAACAGTTATAGCACCACAACATCACCAAAAATGACCACAAATAAAGCATCACAATAAAGCCTTTTCCTATTAAGCCGCAGCTACGAGGAACTTCTGAGCTATAGTGCTCTATTTAGCATACAATGATCTTGAAAAGGTGAGAGAATTTAAAATACGCTAGACAGAACCAATTCTAAGAGATGGCCCAAATTAGGACCTTATAAGCAATAACTTGTTGAGCAGAGAATTTAAGAGACTCACTGGCCATCAGGTAGCTCATATGGGGTCATTGGAATATTTGCATATGCACTTTCTGCCAAAAGAAAACCAATTTTATCAAACATATCGAATTGCCAGCAGATGTATCTCAGTCAAGATTTGAGATTTCATATGAAAACAATATTCCCATACGCACTTTCTGCCAACAAAAACTATTATATCAATCATATCAAATAACTAGCAGATGTATCTGAGTTAGCTTTTGAGAATTCCTAAAGCTGCAGATTATATCAATACAATCTTCATAGGGCTGAGAGAACGCAGCTTGGACAAAAAGCAGCGCATGGCCAGTCATCAAAGTGGGCTTACTAAATAACACGCAGAGGAATAATTGCTGTACACATGCATCGGATACAAACAGTATATATACATATGAACCGCCGAGAATTATCAGTTGGATGAGTAAAGAGAACACAAAGAGGATAATCTTCACTTTGAGGGTAAAGAACCATTACAAAGAGACAAAAGGTGTGCCACTACTAAAACCAAAGCCAAAGATTGAGTACCATCATAGGGACTATCTGGAGCACGGCATACAGAATCCTTGATATCACTAGCAATTACCCTCTGTCATAGGAGAAAAATTAGCAGCCATATGGAGCATGTGGCATCTGAACTAGAAATTATTTATAGAATATGACAGACCTGGGAATATAGTCTGTAGCTTTCTGTTGTGCTTGGAAAATCAATATCAAATGGCTACAGAATGAACAAAACAAGAAAATGATAACATGAGCAACTCCACTTGTGCCTTTAGTTTGATAAATACATAGCCTTGAGGATTGATCTCAAAGGCTCAAAACACATACTTATGGGGGCAAGAAAAGGTAAACGCATGAAGAAATTTTTTTGTTAATATTTTTGGAAATCTGGAATTCCAGGCTAATGAAAAATCTCATTAATCTCATGGACCAGGTAAGACTCAAGCCGAAGCTTGGGTATGTACCAAACATGAGATCGTTTGCACTTGGGTGGTTCGAGGAATTGAACTATGCTGTGTGCCTCTACACACAAATGTCCGCTCCTTAACTACTAAACCAACACCAAGGAGTTAAGAAAACATTTTTCAAGACAGGGCTAAATTAGGAAATAGACATGCAACCAAAAATACTAAATCCCAAAGTAGATGAAAAATGCCAATGAGCAAGAAACAACCTGAAACTCTCCCGGACGTACTTCCTTTCTTTTAAACGAATATCTAGGTTTTATCTGCAAAGCACAAAATGAAATGCTTGACCTACTAGGAACTAAGAAATCAAATGTGGAGGGCAAGCACAACATGAAATTCCAGAAGAGAATATTTACCTTGACACCTTTGCTTTCCAAGCTCTTCAGCAAGCAATCAGTTAGAAAATCTCCTCCAATAGGTGAAGTCGCCACAGCCTATCATTGCGTGAATATTGTATAAGCAAAAAGTACCAAACACAACCCAGCGGAAGCTTTCAGAAAGATAAACTAAACAACTTCGAGTAGTGCAGCACATTGACGAAACCCTCCACGAAGGTAGCATATATCATCTTATCACGACAGAAACACTATTGCACAGGGAAACAACCATTTATTTTACACTTGTCTGTGTTGATAATATTAGGGGAAAGAGCAAATGCTCCGGTCTAATCTCGAGAATCATATACCTCTATGCTACACAAAGAAGGGAATGAAGTAGCCAAAACTGAAGAAAGGGAATTTTAGCAATTTGGCATGAAAGAGTTGAACAGAAATCCAATATTGAGTCGTTCGACAAATGACAATTTGAAAAGGCTAGAAAAGGACAGCACCTTTTGAAGAACATAACCATCATGTACTGGAGCTACTGTAGTTGATCCTCCACCACTGAAAGTTTCAGTTTTACATTGACATGAATCAGTGCAAGCAGTAGAAGGAATATTTAATCTAGTAACGAAGAGGTACATCAATGCAATATATAGAAGAAAAAATTACAGATTACTCTAAAGGCATCTCTTCATCACACAAAACCATGGCTTATGACTAGACTCCTAGTAGCTCGACCGCCCAATAGACTGGCCCATCATTTCGCATGCTTGGCTCGACATATGAGCATATCATGTGACTTCTTTTATAGGCTAGTTGCACTGGAGAATTGTGCATTTGTCCATGACATTTTTTACTTCAAACTCTCAACTACACAAGTTGGACTAACAATATCTAAAAATCCAGCAAAAGGTCAAATTAGCCCTATTTCTCCAATAATGAATTTTTTATGTCACAATTATAAAATGCAAGTTATCACGTACAATTATATACACTTCCTTCTCATGCTTTTCCATCTAAGGACATGTGAGCTTTCAATTGGTGATATATTTCGCACTCGCACTATCCCTATGTGAGGCTCCCTATCATCATTGGATGAGTTGAAAACTGAATAAGATCTCCACGAATGTTTACACTTCTTGGAAGCATATGATAAAATGGGAAAGAAAGGACCAGAACAATTTTTAAGACCAAGCAACTCTATTTGTTTAATATTTAGTCAAGTCCACCAATTTAGCAATTCAATGGATTGAACTTGAACAAAAAGCAAAATGGCAGTTGTTTGTAGAGTGCATTTGGTTGAAAATGTTACAGTTCCTATAAGCAAAAAAATTGGTCAAAAATTGTTTTAGTAGCCTGTCCCGCTTTCAGTACTTCTGTGCGGTGAAAAAGGGTTTAGTAAAAACTAAAAAATAACAAGATGGCTTTTGTATTTGTTTTCAAGCTGAAATTAGAATCCAAATTCTATGAAAAACGCTTAACTGATTTTAAAGCATACTTTGAGATGAAAGACAAAAAATAAGTACAAATTGTGCAGAAAGAAAAACTTTTAATGAAAATGAAAACTGAAGGGCCTGTTTGGTATGCCAAAAAGTTTTCAGTTTTCGTTTTCATTTTCATTTTTCTGCTTTCTTGAAAGCATGTTTGGTGTAAACTTAGTTAGCGGTGTTATTTTCACGAAAAAAAAAGTTGTAGTATGTGCAAATATTCTTGATCAATTAAATAAAAGATAATAATGAATAAACTCTTAACGTTCTTTTATTTCATAGAAGTATTTATTGCTAATCAGGTTTCTAGTTCCTATTTTTTAATACTTTTCTTTGGATTTTCTTTCACCATTTTAGCATGGTGAAGATTCTTGAAGCTCCAACAGAGCTACAACTTCTTTGAAGCAAAGCTTCAATATTGAACCAGACAAAAAGGGAAGAGAGAAGATCTTGGGCATCGTCATTCGGATCTTGAAAGCTCCAGCTTCAACTCCAGATTCAACTAACCTAACCATCTTTTCTTTTTTTTCTTTTTGAAGCTTGAAATTTTTTGAAAGCCTTACAGGTTTATAGATTGAAGCTTTACAGGTTTATGGAAGCTTCAAGCTCCCGTAAAAGTTTCAACTAAAGCTTTATCTTGAAACAAACAACTGTGGAATAGTCGATGAAAAAGATGAAAAAAAGAAGATGAGAGAAAAGGATGGAAGAGAAGCTGCGTTGTGATTTGAGGTGAAAAAGTAAAAACAACTAAAACCTGTTTTCACTCTTCTAGTTAAAAAACAAGGAAAAAATTCACTTCTGTGTTCAGTTGAAAACCGAAAACCCACCGGAACACATTTCCATGATAATTTTCCTTCTCTGAAAGAGAAAGTAAAACTTCAAAAAATTTCTGTAAACAAACAGCCCCGAAAATGTTCTCTAAAACCAACTAAGCTACTAAAAGATGTAAGTCAAACCATCCAAGCTAAAATTACTAGATAGAAATGATACAAGTGAAAATAAAAATTTGAAAATTTTTCTGTAAAGAAAGAGCCCTGAAAACGTTCTCTAAAACTGACTAAGCCACTAAAAGATGTAAGTCAGACCATCCAGGCTAAAATGACAAGATAGATATATCACTAATTCTGCATGTAAAATTGAGTAATGCAAAAAACTTCAAAAATAGCACAAATCAATAGGCAACAGGTTCGAATTGCACAATTTAGAGGAGAAAAAAAAAAGAGAACCCAACAATTAGGAATAAGGCAACAACAGAGAACCGAAGAAGATCAAGAGTTGAAGGTCAAACATTGTACCAATCAACTACTAAGGAAGTGGCACGCCCAGATGCAAAAGAAGTGAGGACCTGCATGAACATTTACTGAATGAGGACCTCACATATGTGACATGACATACAATTGAAGGACAGAATATGTTCATAACAAGTTCAGCAAAGGAAAAGGAAGGAGCAAGGGCATACAGCATTCTTGGCCAAAAACAAGGCAGGAACTTTATACTTTTCAAACATAAGCTCAGCTGCCCTGTCAATTATGTAAATGGAACTCAATCATCAATACATTTGGTAAGTCATGAAGAGCACCAAGATATTGGTTAAGGCAGTCTGGCACGTAGCATCAGCCTCACATTCTCTACCAATTGACTTACCTTTCTCGTTGTTGCTGAGGGTTGGAAGATGGTTCTGCAAGAAGCATTGGATGCTCTGTCGGATCAATTAGAAGACATTCCCTGCAAAAGAAAAGGACCGGGCATAATAAACGTCAAAAATCTAAAATACTAGAGAATAAAACTGTGTTAGACTGAAAAATGAAATAGCTTTCTTGAAAAGAAAAAGAAACAGAGGACTTATAGCAGGATAAGGCATTAGAGGTAAACTACTGAATGCCTGTAACGTGACCCTATCATACCCACCTGGCTGAGCTCTGAATTTTCTGATCATGATCAGATAGCCGATATCCATTTATATAGAGCCCGTAAAGTGGATATAATCCCATAGGAAAACAGCGCAAGTTCAATAATACCTCAGTAGACAATACATGGCATGATCTTAAGCTCCCTGATCATGTTATGCTCCTGACATATCATGGTTCCTGATCATGTTATGCCCATGACATACTATGTTTTTCATAGTGTACATGCTATACCCACATAAACTAACCATTTCCTAAAAGGTAATCAGGGCTCAGATGGGGAATTCCAGCTCTTGCCGAAAGAGGACCGAAAGATAAAAATGAAAGTTACGGAAACAAAGTCATGACTGTGATAATGGAACTGGTTAAGACTACCGGAAAAGATTAACTCGTTTATTCAACACGAAGTCTAGATCAAGGGTGCAAGCCACATATAAACCCTAATAAAGTGTGTCTCTGCCGAGTTTAAACTACCTGAAAGCATGGTCCCATATATTGTCAACAATTTCCCAATCCGCGACAATTCCATCCTTGAAAGGCGATATGACCTGACCAAAAATGGAATGGACAATGAAACTGCATTAAGATACCACATATCACCAACATTGCTGTTGCTTTGGTAAGAAATTAGATGGCACGCACGTCCACATTCAGAATAACAGTAGATGCTCAGTAGCTGACCTCCATGTGATCCCTGCGGTATCCTAAAGCTTGAGATCCCACATACAATTTCCGTTTTCCCTTATTTTTATCAGAATCAGGAGTTTTGACATTGCCCTTAGCCTCCATGGCTGCTCCAGAGTTTGTATCGGTATTTGCAGCATCGTCGACTTCCATTTGATCAATTGAACCCACAACCTAATGAAAACGCATTACATTTCTGTAAATCCTCTTGACCACAACCATCGTTCACCAACAAAAAAGTTAAATGAATCATAATGGTACACCAACCCATGTTCACAACTCCCAAATCTTTAATGCCTTAATACAAGTGGAGATAAATGACATCCCCCAGTATTTAACCCCCAAGAGAGACAAAATACAGATTATGGAATAAAGCACTCGGGCAGAACCCACTGGGGCAAAACAAGCAGACTCCACAGGCTCTAACCCAGTTCAGCTGACAGCTCAATCGGTGCATAAATGAGCTAAAATATGGACAATTTTTCAACGCAACCAAGAACCACCGGCACGGCAGCAGCTGCATTGTCGTCCCCTAAACTCGGCACATTCAATTCGCCTAACAAAAGAGCAACTCACAGAGGGAAAAACGGCCTTGGGAGCATCTTCGCCGGCGTAACCGGCCTTGCAGGTGTGCGAGCCCAGGTCGATGACTATCGCCGACACTTCATCTGCAAGGGAGGAAACAAATTCCGGCGAGCAAAGACCGCGTTAGTCCCGATACGCGCGCGCGCGCCGCGCGAGGCCGGCAGCGCACAAGAAAACCAACAGAGCGCCGCCGTTTCCGGGCGGCGGCGAAGGGATCGAGGGACTCACCGCCGCCGTACATGATCGCCGGCGGGCTCGAGGGCGGCGAACTCCGGCGAGGGTGGAGGGAGAGAGCGGGAAACGATCTCGAGCTTCTTCGCGGGGGGGGAAAGCTCGTTAGGGTTTTAGAGGAGCTCACAGTCGCAGAGAGAGAGAGAGAGAGGGGGGGAGGCAAGAAGAGTTTCGAACCTTGACCGTTACGCCTTGGGGAGCAACTAGAAATGCCTGGAAATTAACGCAAAATAGTTTAAAAAGAGAGAACCCTTATTTATATCTTCAGCAATTAATCCATAAATCTCCCACCAACAAAAAAAAATCGATAAGTCTATAAAAAAAATAGTATTTCCTTTTTTTTTATAATTATAATCGGATATTTTTCTTAATAGAGGTAAATTAAGAAAAATGGTATTGCCTTATTGGATAAAATCGCGCATTTCTCATAATAAAGGGGGAAAATTACCAAAGCAATTTAATTGACATCTGATTGATTGATAATTATGTTTGTGCGAAATTTGATTTTGGTCACAAGAATACTTGCATTGAACTAGCGTCCACCGTGACTGTAGGTCGCCCAGATCTGACTTCGAGCTTGAACTGAGGGTGTGCATTGGTCCCGATCCAACATCCGGAAATTGGACCGGATGTTGGATTGGGACCGAGCTATCCTGTTCTGGATGGTTCTTGGGGAGACCGGTTCGGTTCCCGGTTCCACATAAGGAATTGGATCGACGGACTGGCTAAGATATTTTAATTTTTTTTTATTCTGAAGCAACCCTAATTAGTAAATTATTTTTTCTTTTAATCTTGGGAAACCCCACTTGTAGGGAATAAAAGAAACCAGAAAAAGAAGAAGAAATCACTAGTTCCAAGATCGACCCGGAACTAGACCGGACCAGTTTCAAGGTTGGGTGGGCTGATTCCCGGTTCCACAAATTAGGGACCAGTCTGGTTTTTTATTCCAAGGTAAGAACCAATCACCCCTAGCTCAAAACGGCCATGGTCGCGAGCTTCGAAACCGGATCTGGCCACGGTGACTACAAGCTCGCTAAGGGCAACCTCAATCGCACGGCTTGATCTCGACGCCATTTGGGCTGAGCTTTGGTTGGGGCTTTGAGGTCAACCTTAGATTTGGGTGTTGACTCTGCTTGGCGGGAGCTCAAACTTAGATTTAGGGGTCAAGCTCCGCTGCACGTCGAGCTCAAAGAGGGGGGAGAGACCCCGACGGAGAGAAGACGAAGAGGCGGTGATCGATTGCCAAGGCTTAGCTGATGAGCCAAATAGAGTACAAAGAAGATGAAAAGTATGTGCCAACGAAAGAAGGAAGAGAATGAACTGTAAAGGAAGAAGTGAAGAACTCGCCGGTTGTTCTTTTTTATTAGTTTTTTATTTTTTCTATTATCAATTTTTTCTGATGTGGCATCATGTCAATGCCGGGTGTTATAAGAAAGTAATAAAATATGTCAAGTCAGCATTTTTCGTTAGTCAAATTGGACGGAATTAACGGAAGGATTTAATTTCACCAATGGGCAAGTTTGAATTTGATTGTACTTTTTAAAAGTCTCGTAACTCAATTATACTTTTGCGACAAGACTTCCGGTGCACTTATCTCTACGCCATTTGGGCTGAGTTTTGCTTGGGGCTTCGAGGTCAACCTTAGATTTGGGTGTTGACTCTGCTCGTGGCGGGAGCTCAAACTTAGATTTAGGGGTCGAGCTCCGCCGCACGTCGAGCTCAAAGAGGGGGGAGAGACCCCGACGGAGAGAAGATGAAGAGGCGGTGATCGGCTGCCAAGGCTTAGCTAATGAGCCAAATAGAGCACGAAGAAGATGAAAAGTAGTGCCAACGAAAGAAGGAAGAGAATGAACAGTAAAGGAAGAAATGAAGAACTCGCCGGTTGTTCTTTTTTATTAGTTTTTTATTTTTTTAATTATTAATTTTTTTCTGATGTGGTGACGCAGCGTTCAACGAATAATTCAAGCAAAACCTTGCTTAGAGAAAGAAATCTTGAAATTCAATATTGATGATAATGTTCTGTTCTTTAAAAAGAACCCTAAAACAAGCTTATATATCCCTAAACCAAACCCTACTAGGATTAGAAAACATAAAACATCAAAATTACAAGACTGCCCTTAAAATTAAAACCCATAAAAAATTAATAAAAAATAGAAAAACCCATGTAAACGATTCCGAATCGCTAAAATCCATCGTTAGTCACGGCCAAAGGCGTGAGTTTTGTTCAGAACGCCGTTTCGCTTAAAACGACCGAATTTGAGTCCAATTCGATGTCATCAACTGGGTCCGCCGGTTCTAATCGCATCACTGTTTCGCCTTCCGTTTGGACTTCTGCTTGTCCAATCGGTCCAGAAACGCTTCACTAATAGATTCTGCATCATTCTCCTCCACTTGAAAAGAACTCGTCCTCGAGTTAAAATCAGGATCTGGATATAACGGCTCTGTGGACTCATGAAACGGTAATAAATCAGCAATATTGAAAGTGTTAGATACGCACATACTATGTGGAAGGTCTATAACATAAGCATTATCGTTGATCTTCTTGCTGACAGTGTAAGGTCCATACTTCTTTTGCTGCAATTTGCTATAAGATCCAACTGGTAATCGCTCTTTACGAAGAAAAACCATGACATGATCACCTACTGCAAACACCTGCTTCTGCCTGTGCTTATCTGTTGCAGCTTTATACTTCAGATTAGCCTCCTCCAGCTTCTGTTTGACCTCATGATGCACCTCCACAATCTGTTTAGCCATATGATTCGCTGTTACACTTTTATCCGCTTGCTTAGGCAACTGTACCAAATCCAGAGTATGCTGAGGTGCCTTTATATAAACAACAGAAAAAGGCAACCTGCCAATAGAACTATGAACTGCATTATTATAAGCAAACCCTGCTTGTGATAAAGCAACATCCCATTGCTTCGGCTTATCTCCACAAATGCTTCGAATCAAGTTTCCCAGAGTTCTATTAACCACCTCTGTTTGCCCATCAGTCTGCGGGTGAGCAGTGCTACTGAAATTCAAAGATGAATCAAACAGTTTCCATAAAGTCCGCCAAAAATGCCCTAGAAATTTACTATCCCTATCTGAGGTAATAGACTTGGGCACACCATGCAAACGAACCACTTTCTTAAAGAATAATTTGGCCACACTTACTGCATCAGAAGTTTTCCTACAAGGAATGAAGTGCGTCATCTTGGAAAATCTGTCAACCACAACGCAAACAGAATCCACGCCTCTTTGTGTCCGTGGTAAACCAAGCACAAAATCCATGAACAGATCTTCCCATATATCGTCAGGAACAGGTAATGGCATATATAAACCTGTATTATTAGATTTCCCCTTAGCAATCTGGCAAACATAACACTTTTGTACGTAGCTGCTGACATCTCTATGCAACTGGGGCCAGTAAAATCGCTCCCGGACTGCAGCAACAGTTTTATCACGACCTAGATGTGCAGCTAATCCTCCATCATGTAAATCACGAATTACCTTCTCTCGTAATGATGTTCGAGGAAGGCAAAGCTGGTTGCTACGCATCAAATAGCCATTCTGCACATAAAATTCTTGCACAGGTTGACTAGCAGTACTTGACTTCCAAATTTGCTCAAAGTCATCATCATCTGCATAACAATCTTTCAACTACTCAAACCCCAAGATATCTTAGCTTAATGTAATCAACAAACCAGCTCTCCTATTCAATGTATCTGCTACGACATTATGCACACCTGACTTGTGCTGTAATCTGAAAGGAAATTTTTGCAAAAATTGACACCATCGCGCGTGCATATCTTTGCTAATCCTTTTCTGACTATTTAGATACTTCAAAGCTTCATGATCAGAATAAAGGACGAATTCTTTCCCAATAAGATAATGCTCCCAGGTCTTCAAAGCCCTTACGACAGAATAGAATTCTTTGTCATAAGTGCTCCATTTCTGTCTCGCCTCGCTAAGCTTCTCACTGAAATAGCAAATTGGTCTGCGCTCTTGAGATAAAACAGCTCCTATACCAACTCCACTAGCATCACAATCCACTTCAAAAAGTTTATAAAAATCAGGTAAGGTAAGAATATGTGCAGTACATAACTTTTCCTTCAGAATAGCAAAACTATTCTCTGCTTCCTCTCCCCATAGAAATTTGCCTTTCTTTGTACATTCAGTCATCGGGGCTGCGATAGTACTGAAATTCTTAATAAATCGCCGATAGAAAGTAGTCAACCCATGAAAACTCCTAACGTCAGAAACTGTTTTAGGTGTCGGCCACTCTCTGATTGCTCTTACCTTTGCCTCATCTACCTCTATTCCTTCAGCAGTAATAATAAACCCCAGGAATAATAGCTTATTAGTTAAAAAACTACACTTCTTAAGATTAATATACAGCTTATTAATCTGCAAAGTTGCCAATACCTCCCTTAAGTGCATCAGATGATCCTCCTTAGTCTTACTATAAATCAAGATATCATTAAAATAAACTACAACAAATTTGCCAATAAAAGATTTCAGAACCTGATTCATAAGCCTCATGAAAGTACTTGGAGCATTGGAAAGTCCGAAAGGCATCACCAACCATTCGTACAACCCCTCCTTTTTTTTGAAAGCTGTCTTCCACTCATCTTCGGGCCGAATCCGAATCTGATGGTATCCATTCTTCAAATCCAGCTTCGAAAATCATTTAGCACCGTGCAACCTATCCAGCATGTCATCCAATCTCGGAATTGGAAACTTGTAACCCACGGTTATCTTATTAATGGCCCTGCTATCTACACACATCCGCCAACTCCCATCTTTCTTAGGAGTCAACAAGGTCGGAACAGCACATGGGCTTATGCTATTATGAATGTGCCCCTTTCGCAACAACTCCTCCACATTCTCTTTTAGAATCTCGCTCTCTTTATGACTTATCCTGTAGTGCGGTAAATTAGGCAGACTAGCACCAGGAATTAAGTCTATATGGTGCTGAATATCGCGCATAGGCGGCAACCCATCTGGAATCTCTTTAGGCATCCGTTCGCTAAATTCCTTCAATAAAGGCCTGATTGCTTCCGGCTGCTCCTCCACTTGTAATTCAGCCTCAGTCTCAATTGCTTGTTTCACGACCAGCACGTGAATCTGTCGGGTCTTCTTAACCTCAGCTTCAAATTTCCTCGTAAGGGTAAGGAAATTATTTTCAGCAGATTTTTTTC